ATATAAGGTGGTTGTCAAATACAATTTCAAAATTAAGAAATTAGTTTTATTATTTAAAAAATAAGATTTTAATTAAATTTTATTAATTAAATATTTTAAAGTCAAAATATTATACAATTTATGATCATAATTACGTGCTGGCCATAATAACAGACGTTACAGTCACAAATCACAAATTTTATATATCATAATTTCTTTATCAATCACAAATTATCACATTAATAGGTCACATATTATTTTTCGATTATAAATCACAAATTTTATAGGGTATAACTTATTTTATAGTCATAAATTATCAAATTAATTAATCACATATTATTTTTTGATCACGTATTATAAATTTTACTGGTCACAATTTATTTTATAGTCCCAAATTGTCAAATTAACTGATCACGTATTATTTTTTGGTCATATATCACAAATTTTACAGTGATAAACTTTTTTTTTCACTTCCCAAATTATCAATTTAATTGATCATAGATCACACATTTACATGTTACAACTTATCGAATTAATTTGTCACAAATTATTTTTCGATTATAAATTGTCAAATTAATTGGTCACAATTTAACAAATTGTGAATCACGATTTAGTATCTGTTTGAGCCCCATTTTTTTTTTTGTGCAAAATACATTTTGAAATAGTATTTTGATGGATAAAGTGTGGCTAAAAAATAAGAAAGATTTTTGATTTAAATGTAGTATTATCTTATTAAAAAATAAGTGATTAAAAATAAGAGGGAGAAAATATATTTTGTAAATAATGAGGATCAAACAAGGGCTTAATTAGTTACAATCTCACATTTTTTAGGTCATATACTATTTATTCGTCACAAATTATATATTTTATTGATCACATATTATTTATTGGTCACAAATTAATCAATTTATTCGTCATAATCATCCAAATTATTGGTTACCCCACCCCACCACACCCGTCCCGTCCCGTCCCATCCCAAAACAAAAACCAAACCCACTACATGCACCACCTCACGATCACCAACACACCACTGCTGCCATCTCAGCACTCCTCGGCACCACCACCACCACCACCTTTTTTCCTCGCACCACCGTCACCACTAGCAACTAGAAAAATGCACTACACAAACATCACCACAAACAGATGAACACCACAACCTACAATCGTCGCCTCCTAATCGATCACCACCACCTCCATACTCAAACCTACACAAATTTAAAAAATTGCAATTGAAACCCTAAACTCCACTATTCATCCATCGCCACGGTAACAACCTCGTAATCGAAAAACACCAGCTACAACGATGACCTGCAAACCTACCACCGCAGAACTTGCAACCCGCCATTGTAGTGCCCGAATTTGGGCGTCCTGACGACGCTTCCATAGTAGCACCACAAAGATTTGACCTAAAAAAATAAAATGCAAATGAAACCCTAAACTTCACCTCCACAGTAACAAAAACGTAGAAAAACACGAGCCGCTACCACGATACCTCAGGCGCTAACACAGTGCTTGCAACCCGCAACTTGACCCAACATCACCACCATCGTACCATCGCGTGTGAGACACAGCTTTGGTATCGCAGCCTGCTAGGGTCGCTGAGCAGCGATACGGTGTCGCAGCATTGCAGTGCCGCTTCGAACGCGTGGCGGTCACAATCTACTTCGCGAGGCACTACACTATTGAATCGTCGACAGATAGAGTATGGAGAAGGGGAGGAGAGAGAAGCGAGGAGAAAAGGGAGGGGAGAGGAGAGAGAGAGGAGATGAAAATGTTTTAGGGTTTGAAATTGGGTGGGGGTGAGGGTTTTGACGAGTGGCCAGTTTGTAGATTTATTTAATTTTACGTTATTAATATTTAAAAAATGCATTATCACCTGATTTTTGTATTAAAAAAAAAACTTTAGACTTGATTTTTGAAGTTGGAACTTAAAAAACATGATTGGCTGTAATTTCCATATTATTCTTTACATATCAACTCTGTCTATGGCAAGCCCAATGTTTCAAATTTGAGAAGGCCGTTATGTGATGAAAATAATCATCAACTAATGCAATTACTTTTAAAGGAAAATAATCAACAATCATGCTACATATATACTGTAGGAGATATTACACCGATAATGTGCATATTATATTCATCAAGAGCATGTCGTTAATATGCTAGAAATCGAACCATAATTCGCCTTCCAGAAATCTGAGTTGAGAAGATAAAAAAGCGATTTACAGACTTCGAATATAATAATATGAATTCTTCACTTCACTATAT